TGGAGGGAGGGAAGGAAGGAAGAAAAAGGGAGAGAGGGAGGGAAGGAGGAGTGGGGAGAGCAGAGAGGGAAGAAAAAGAGGGAGGGAAGAGAGATAGAGAAGAAAGGAGGGAGGGGAGGGAGGGAGAGAGGGAGGGAAGGAGGAGTGGGAGAGCAAAGAGGAAAGAAAAGAGGGAGGGAAGAGAGAGATGTTGGAGAAGGAAGGAAGGAAGGAAGGAAGGAAGGAAGGAAGGAAGGAAGGAAGGAAGGAAGGAAGGAAGGAAGGAAGGAAAAGGGAGAGAGGGAGGGAAGGAAGAGAGGGAGGAGTAGGAGAGCAGAGAGAAGAAAAAGAGGGAGGGAAGGAAGGAAGGAAAAGGGAGAGAGGGAGGGAGAGAGGGAGGAAGGAAAACATTGCACCCGGTGCAATGAATGGAAATAGACCAGTCATTCCCTGAAATGCATTTCTACATCTTTGCTAGCTCTCCGCTTGCCTGAAAGAATGGCGCGAAGGAATGATTTGTTAGCACTCAGGTGGGAGAGAAAACTTCAATAACTCCGGCTGTAATTTTCGAAATAATCATTTGCCGAAAATCAATGCGAGTTCTGGGGACTTTTGTTCCTCTTGACCAATCACAGAGGTTTATGGATTTCCACCCCTGTCGTTCCCCCTCCCCCATTCCCCCCACCCACCCTTTGGGAAATTGACAATAGCAGCTCTGCTTCACTGGCTTGAAAGAAGAAAGGGAGATTAGAATCTTTCCCCCTTTTTTAAATTTTCTTTTAGATTTTTTTTTAAAGAACGTGCTCAGGATTATTTGCATTCCCCAGGTTCTGACGCTGGGAAGGGAAGAATAGGGGACAAGCTGTTAAATTGTCCTTATCACCAAGGGAGAGAAACGATTGTTTCAAATGGTGTGGGAATTGACGTCAGAGAAACGATTGTTTCTGGGAATTGACGTCAGACAAACCGGTCGTTCTCGACTTGCAGCCGTCGTTTGTGAAGTGAGTTGTGTGCAATGTTACCACCTCTTTGGACCCTGCAGTTGTTAAGTGAATCACTCAGCCGTTAAGTGAATCCAGGTCCCCGTCCGTCCCCCCCGGTTTACTTCGCTTGTCGGAGGCTGGATGGGAAAGTTAGCGACCGTTCACACTTACAACAGCACTGAACAATGTGACCTGCGGCCCTTTTTCACGGTTACCACCTTTGTAGCCTGATCGTGTGATCCGAATTCAGACGTTCGGCAACCTGGTTCGTGCTTACGACCGTTTCTGTGTCCCAAAGTCACGCAACCGACTTCAAACAAGTGAAGTCAAGGCTCCTATTTATGACGGGCACAGTTCCCAGGGCCACGTGATCCCTTTTCCCGGCCTTCCGACAAGCGAAGTCCATGGGTGGGAGGAAGCCAGATTCAATGGGTTACTCGCTTATCAAACTGCAGCAACTGTGGCAAGAAAGGGTCGTAAAATGGGGTGAAACTCGCTTCACAAATGTCCCACTTAACCACAGAAATCTGGGGGCTCCCTTGTGGTCGTAAGTCCGGTGCTACCACTATCAGCACTTACAGTGACTGGAACCACACTTGGCGGTTGAGAAACGCCAGCGTGCAGGAGCTGAAATAACGACAGTTGGTTCACAACTCGCCCTCATTCACAGATTTCTCGCTGCTGGCAGAGTTTTCTCACCATCCGGTGCCAGCTTGAAAGCGGACTGAGTTCACACTTGCTTGTCTGAGTCAGCAGCTGTTGAAAAAGCTGATTTGGGCAAATATAAAAAAGTGAAATCAAACAGTCGGCTTAGGCATGTCAGCCAGTTCTCAGCAAGTCACAAGATCATCCCCTTGAGCCCAGAAAAATGACCTTGGCAAGGGGACAATGGGAAGATGGTTTTCGTTCTTTAATGATCAGATCAAAAGCTCTTATTTCTATAGGTCCAAGGATGTTTCTGTGATCTGTGGCAACTGTTTCAGAGGTTCTCCTTGTTCTACTCGCTCCCTGGCCCGCTGTCATGCCCCTGTTGGAATCTGATTCCGAGGTGGAAGTTGAGTAGCTCACAGGGAGTGGGAGTGTAGCTCCGGTGGCTGGGGAGGAAACTGGGGAAAGGCACAGTCCAGCTGGGCATTCAGAGGAAGGCCCAGGCCCACCCCTTCTTCATCCTAGGGCATGCAGGGAGGAATGGAGAAGGGAGCAATGTGGGTTACGGGGGAGAAAAGGGCCCTGATTCCCTTCATTAGCTGCAGCTGGGAAAACAGGATTTAAAAAGGGTGTTTGCACACAGCACCTTGCTGGAAGCAAAGCATGAATTATTTTGGTTTATCAAGTCTTATCTGAGTTCTGGCATCCTGTCAACTGCGTGTGTTTCATTAGCTTTTGAACTCTGCAATTCCTTATCCTGCCCTGTCCCATTAATTGCTGCAGCATGGTTTGTGTTGGTTTTTATTTATAATCTATATGTACTTTGGGTTCGGACTGAATTTCTTCCCTTTAAAGACTGTTCTTGGGAGAGTTTTTTCTCCAGCCAATGATAACTGGACATTGGGGGCCATGTTGGAGGTATTAAAGGGACTTTACCTACTTTTGTGACTTTGTTGCTTTTGTGCCATGCCCCGGGTCATCACACCCACTTCTTTTGGAGGAGTTTAGTTCCCCCTTAGGGGTCTCCATAAAATCCGGTTTCTGATTCCAGAAGATGTCGGTTGTGGGGTCCTTGGTGCTTTCTGAACTACGTTGTTTTCTTGCAAATGTTTCATTACCAAACTGGGTAACGTCATCAGGGTAGAAGGGAGTGGGGATTGCTCCCCTAATAAACCAAGCCAAGTTCAAAAACATTAGAGAATTCCTGGAAGTCTGGTACTCAGACAAATCGGCCATCAACAGGCACGTAGAGATAAATGACATTTACATACCATTTGAAAGAAACAATTTAAAAAAAAAAGACCAGAAGGAAACAAAAAGACCAAAACACCTCCTCTTCAGCAATCAACATCCAAATAACGAGAGATTAACTCCACACTAGACCCACAATCAAGAAGTAAACGGAACCCCAATCAAGGAACTACCAACATAGACAAAAAGCTAACAATAAACAATAGCCTAATTAAGGAACCACCAAGAATAAAACACTCCCACCAATCCAACTTCCTTCTGACACTGATGATGTTACTTAGTTGGGTCATGGAACACCTATAAAAATCAACCAAACTCAAAGAGCATCATGGACCCCATAGTTCTCCTCCTCCTCCTCTATTCCACAAACCCAACTCTCTTCTAGCAGTGATGATGTTACTACCAGTAGTTGGGTCATGAATCATCCACAAGAAAACATCCAACCTCCAAGGACCAAGAGAGCACCAAGGACCGCACAGTCCTCCTCCTCTTCCCCCTCCTCCCCCTCCTATTTCTTCATTCTGCAAACCTCACTCCCTTCTAGTACTGATGATGTTACCTAGTTTGGTAATGAAAGATCTGCAAGAAAACCACCAAGCTCAGAGAGCACCAAAGACCTCGCAGCTCTCCTCCTCCTCCTTTCCCTGTCTCTATCCCCTTCCAACCCTGATGATGTTACCTAGTTGGGTCATGAAGCATCCATAAAAAACAACCCAACTCAAAGAGCACCCAGGACCCCTTGAGCCACAGATATTCTCTTCCACCCGTATCAGTTGTCCACCATGTCTCTCTCCTTCTTTCTGCAGCCAATAACATCTGCTTCTACGGAGAATGCTCCTACTACTGTTCAACAGAGCACGCCCTTTGTGGCAAACCAGACCAGATTGAAGGCTCCATGGCTGCCTTTTTGCCCGATTTGTCTTTAGCCAAACGGAAAACCTGGAGAAACCCATGGCGACGTTCCTACCATAAACGCAAGAAAGCCGAGTAAGTGTTTGTGGCTAAAAGGCGTCCTGCTGCTTCCGCTGCAACCCCCACGCAGCAAGCTGTCAGTTCACCATTGGTGCCTAGCCAGACTTTTAATCCCACCACCGCTGAGCAGAACGAAGTCATCAGCGTGCCAAATGTAGAAGAGACACAGTGGGAAGATGAAGAGCAGAGGCTGGGCTTTATCTGCATGGCCCACGCCATCATTCAACCCAGATGTCGAGTTTGTTCTAAACTCTAAAACCAAAACACCAGAACTTCTGGGTTTTCATGCAGTAGGACTAAAGCTTTTGCCCTAATTAAACTTGAATCCAACTTATTTTGCACTTATTTTGCAGGTATGGGAGAAATAATAATTTCCTTGCATTTTTTCTCCTGTCATTCATTCATTCATTCATTCATTCATTGCTTCTAGAGTAGAGTAGAGTAGCGTGGAGTGGAGTGGAGTGGAGTGGAGTGGAATGGAATGGAATGGAATGGAATGGAATAGAATAGAATAGAATAGAATAGAATAGAATAGAATAGAATATAGAATAGAATATAGAATAGAATAGAAAATAGAATAAAAGTAGAATAGAATATAGAATAGAATAGAATAGAATAGAATAGAATAGAATAGAACAGTGTAATGAAGAACTAGAATAGAATAGAATAGAATAGAATAGAATAGAATAGAATAGAATAGAATAGAATAGAATAGAATAGAATAGAATAGAATAGCATACCATACCATACCATAGCATACCATAGCAAAGCATAACATAGCATAGAATAGAATAGAATGGAATGGAATAGAATAGAATTCTTTTTTGGCCAAGTGTGATTGGACACACAAGGAATTTGTCTTGGTGCAACTGCTCTCAGTATACATAAAAGAAAAGATAAATTTGTCAAGAGTCAATAATCATAAGGTACAACACTTAATGATAGTCCTAGGGTACAAGAAGAATGGAATGGAATGGAATAGAATAGAATAGAATAGAATAGAATAGAATAGGAATATGGGAGGGGGCTTTGAGGTCTTCTAGTCCAGCCCCCTGCTCAAGCAGGAGAATCTATAGTATTTGAGACAAGTGACTGTCCAATCTCTTCTTAAAAATGTAGCATCCACAATTAGTAGATGCTAATCCATCAGTAATGGAGCATCCACAATTTTTGAAGGCAAGCTGTTCCACTGGTTAATTGTCCTCGCTGTTAGGAAGTTTCTCATTCATTCATTTATTCATTCCTTCTATTAATATTATCAAATTTATTTGCTGACCATCTCATGGTTTAAGGCCACTCTAGCCAGTTAACCAACCCTAGGTCATAAATTTATTTATTTGTTAATTAAACTTATCGGCCGTCTGTCTTGCGTAGGGAGGATTCTGGGCAGCTAACCACCAATTAAACAACAGGAGAAAACATTAACGTGTCCAAATAGCAAATATTAATGCTAAAATTGACTTAAGAATTAACAGAAGTGGCAAGGAAGGAAGCCCCCTCCCCCTCTTTGTGTATCGTTATAGTCCAGTCCAGATAGTGGGATAGGAATATAGAGGGGTTTTTTTTCTGAACCCTTTCAAGCTACTCTTATTCCTATCAAGGCATTTTTAAAAAATTATTTTCCCCTGTGGGAGTTCAGCAACGTTCTGCTCCTTCCACAAGATCATAAGTGGGAGGAGGGTTACATCTTTAAAATATAGATGGGCATATTTCCTCTTTTAAACTCACACTCACCCACTCAATCAAAACGTAGAGCACTGTTGGTGGCTAACCTTCCCAATCTGTATTTTTTTTTTCCTGTCTCATCCAGGTGGGAAGTTGACCCCGAATATTGTGAAGAGGTTAAGCAAACGCCACCTTACGATCGGGGAACCAGGATCTTGGATATAATGGACATGACCATATTTGATTTTCTGATGGGTATGTTTGTCACCTTCTGAAATGGAGTAGTCCACTTAGAATTTGGGCAGTTTTAGTGGTAGGACGCAGTGGCTCAGTGGCTAAGACGCTGAGCTTGTCGATCAGAAAGGTTGGCAGTGCGGCGGTTCGAATCCATAGCGCCGCGTAACGGAGTGAGCTCCCGTTACTCATCCCAGCAGCTTCTGCCAACCTAGAAGTTCGAAAGCACGTAAATAATGCAAATAGAAAAATAGGGGCCACTTTGGTGGGAAGAAGGGAACAGCGTTCCTCCGTGCACCTTCGGCGTTTAGTCCTGCCGGCCACATGACCACGGAGACGTCTTCGGACAGCGCTGGCTCTTCGGCTTTGTAATGGAGATGAGCAACTGCCCCTGAGAGCCGGAAACGACTAGCACATATGTGCAAGGGGAACCTTTACCTTTTACCTTTCGTGGTAGAACGTGTAGAATTTGTGGATTTTTTTTTTTTTTTTGCTGCTAGTTGTTGCCTTGGCTTATTTGGCAGTGGCACAACATTAATGACTTTCTTAGGTGACACAAATAGCAGAATATCAGAGTTGGAAGGGACCTTGGAGGTCTTCTAGTCCAACCCCCTTGCTCTAAGAAGGAGACCCTTCACCATTTGAGACCAATGGCTGTCCAATCTCTTCTTGAAAGCCTCCAGGGTTGGAGCACCCACAACTTCTGAAGGCTTCCCCTATTCTAGTCCTCTGCCAGGAAATTTCTTCTTAGTTCTAGGTTGATTTTGATCATGGGATGAAGGATCACAAGGTAATCCTGTTTCTTCTTGAAAGACATTGGACAGCCAGAATGGTGCTTGAGCAAGGAGCAGGTCCCTTCTAAACCTATTATTCCATGTTCTGTGTTCGTATACTATAATTTGCTTAAGATCTCCAATAGGACATTCTGCTAAACATTTTTTTTTCTTATTTTTCCTCCTCTTTCCAGGTAATATGGATCGACACCATTACGAGACCTTTGAGAAGTTTGGAAATAATACTTTTATTATCCACTTAGACAATGGAAGAGGGTAATTATGGGAGAGAAGGGGTGGGTTCGGTTGATCATAACTTACATCTTTCCTTTTTATTCTGGGTTATTCTTCACCACTTTTCTTTTGCTTGAAAAAAGGCATAAATTTGCCCATAGGTCACTTAACCAGAACACTAGTTTTTTTCTAGCTCAGAGACCGGCAACCTATATAGGTCATCCTCATTTAGTGACCACAGTTGGGACCGGCAACTCGGTCATTCAGCGAAGCCATTGCTAAGTGAAACCATGACTGTGTGTCAACTCAAAAATACTTCTCTGGTCTTTTAGAGTTGACAGCAGAAAGGGAGTGGGGGAGTAATGCATATCTTAAATATTTTTCATAGATAATTGCTAGGCAGCCGAAGCTCCTGGCACGCAAGATTATTACTGGAGAGCATGATTGATGGCTCTTGGCTATGGATGTGTCCCATTGGAGAATATACATCCAGGGGGTGGGGGAAGACCAGGGTCAAGGGTGAGATGAATGATGTGCCTCAGTGGCGGCTAAACCCAGGTAGCACCGGCATGTTCACTCCTAATAAGTTATTATTATTTTTTAAACTCTGAAAGATGCAGCTAGAGACTCATGATCTGAATGGGGCTGGATTGTCAGAGCCCTGACACTGTGCTTAGGAGTGCAGTTCAACTTTCCATTGCTTTATAGACCTGTGAAGATTGTCAAGAAAAAAATATGATATTTTCTTTGAAGACTTGTGGTGAGGCTTCGGGAGGGCTGCCCACGTTTCCTGCAAAAACACCTCTTTGGCTCAGCCCATGGCTCAAACCATTGCAATAAAGAGTGCATTCAGCTTCTGCCCTGACTTTTCGCCAAGAATTTGAGACAGAAAGTATATTTCTAGTGAATGGTTCTTGTGTTCTTCTTTCCTGTAGGTTTGGGAAATATTCTCACGACGAACTGTCTATCTTGGTGCCTTTAAATCAGTGTTGCCGGTATGTTTGGCATTTATTTTTCCTTCTTCTTCTCTTCATGGGGATCATATGGGGAGGATTATAAATGA